TGAGACCTTGCTTTTAATTATTTTGGGTACATATCCAAAAGAATTGCCAGGTCATATGGTAGTTCTGTGTTTAATTTTTGTGAAACTATCATACTGTTTTCTGTATCAGTTATACCACTTTATGTTCCCACTGCACAGTATCGTTGCGGGTGGGTGTAGAGAGTTCTTGCCACCAGGGGCCAAAGAATTGGCTCGTGAGGCAGCAGATTGACTCGTGAGACAAGGTCGGCACACAAAGTAGGATTTATTAGAGAGAAAGGAAAAGCTGCCCCTAGAGACAGACAGGGAGCCCAGAAAATCAGTAGCTTCCTGTGTTTACATAGAGGAGTTTTTGATTTGGTCCTTTCTGTTGGGGCGGGGATCAGGAGTCAGGGGTGGTCTCTTAACAAATCTCTACAGGAACATGTACACAGTCCCGTGAAAGCCTCCTGTCTATCAGTCTTGTGGCGTTTTGAGCTTCCACGACTTGTGAAACCGCGTGTCCCTTTACAGGATGTAGAGCTCACAGTGCTCTCATGGGGGAATGGGGGCACCAGCTCATTCTGTCTTCTGAGCCCCCACACCCAATAGTATGTTTTGTTTTTTCATACTAGCCACCCTAATGGGTTTGAGGTGGCATCTCATTATGGTTTTGATTTGCATTTCCTAATGATTAGTAAACTTAAGCTTCCTTCCACATGCTTGGTGACCATTTGTCTGTCATCTTTGGAGAAACGCCTATTCAAGGCCTTTGTCCATTTGTGAATCAGGTATTTATTTATTTATTTATTTATTTATTTATTTATGTGCTCTTAGGATTTGAACTCATGCTTTCTAGGCCAGTGCTCTACCACATAAGCCACACCTCCAGCCCTATTTTTGTTGTTGTTGTTCTTAAGTTTTAGGAATTGTCTATTAACTTTTTTTTTTTTTTTTTTGGCAACACTGAGGTTTGAACTCAGGGTCTCACACTTTCTAGGCAGGCACTCTACTACTTGAGCCACCCCAGCAGCCTTAGGAGTTCTCTATATACTTTATTTTTTTTTATTTTATTATTCATATGTGCATACAAGGCTTGGGTCATTTCTCCCCCTGCCCCCACCCCTTCCCTTACTTTAATACTTTAGATATTAATCTTATCAAATATGTGATTTGCAAATATTTTCTCCCATTTTGTGAGTCATCCTTTTACTCTGTTGATAGTGTCCTTAAATGCACAAAGTTTCTTAATTTTCGCTTAAAACAGTCCAATTTGTCTATTTTTTCTTTGGTTGCTTGTGCCTTTTGTGTCATATTCAAGAAATTATTGCCAATGTCATGAGGCTTTTAACATATTTCCTCTATGAGGTCTTTGATACATGTGAGTCTTTTTTCTTTTTCTTTTTTTTTTTTTTGCAGTACTGGGGTTTGAACTCAGGGCCCAGACTTTGGCACTCCATGAGCCCTTTTTTGTGAAGGGAGTTTTTGAAATCGGGTCTCACGAGCTGTTTGTCTGGGCTGACTTTGAACCCTAATCCTCCTGAGCTCTGCCTCCTGAGTAGCTGGGATTAGACGTGAGCCACCTGTGCCCAGCTTGAATCGGTTTTGAAACATGGCATTAAGAGAGGGTGGTTTCCACTTTTTGGCTATTATGAAAAAAACTTGCTATAAACGTTTGTGTACAAGTTTTTACATCTATGAGTTTTCTTTGCCTTTGGGTATATACTTAGGAGTAGAATTGCTAGGTCAAATAGAATCTCTGTTTTTATTGCTTAAGGAACTTCCAAACTGTTTTCCAAAGTGATTGTACCACCTTACATTCTCACCAGAAGAGCATAAATGTTCCACACTTGTTAAAAACAACACTTGTTATTGCCTGACTTTTTAAAATTATTATGGCCATAAATGGGTGTGAAGTGATATTTCACAGTGGTTCTGATTTGCATTTTCCTGATGACGAATGATGTTGAGCATCTCCTCATGTGTTTATTGGCCTTTGTAGATATTCTTCAGGAATTTGTCAAGATCCTTTTCCCACCTTTTTTTTTTTTTTTTAATGGTATGGGGCTTTGAACTCAGGGCCTCACACTTGCTAGGCAGGCACTCTACCACTTGAGCCCTCCAACAGCCCTTTTCTGTGTTGGGTATTTTTGAGATAGGGTCTCTCGAACTATTTGCCTGGGCTGGCCTTGAACTGAGATCCTCCTGATCTCTGCCTCCTGAGTAGCTGGGATTACTAGTGTGAGCCAGGCACCTGATTCTTTTCCCACCTTTTAATTGGATTGCTTGCTTTTTTATTGTTAAACTGTAATGCAGATTTGTAATTATTATTTTATGTGGTTGTCTTTTAAATCATCTAGGAGAAAAAGTTATAAATAAAATGCATTTATACTATCATTTTACCTATGTAGTCACCAGAATTGGTAATCTTTCTTTGTGTAGATTTGAATTATTCTTTCATGTCCTTTAATTTTAGCATAAAAATCGTTTTTAATATTTCTTTTTTAAAAAGTATTTCTTGCAAGGCAAGTCTGCCGATGATGAATTCTCTTCGGTTTTGTTTCACTGAGAATGTCTTAATTGTTCCTTCATTTCTGAAGGATAGTTATGCTAGAATAGAATTCTTAGTTGACAATATTTTTTCTTCAACACTAATACATCATCAAACTGCATTCTGGTCTCCATGAATTCTGCTAAAAGCTGAGGAGCTAATCTTATTGAGGGCTCTTTGTTTGTGATGAGTTGCTTCTCTCTTGCTGCTTTCAAGATTCTAAAGGTCTTTGGTTTTTGAGGGTTTGACTATGATATGTCCAGATGTGGGTCTCTGAGTTGATTCTGCTGGAAGTTCATCGAGGTAAACCAAAAATGTAAAACTTGAAACCAAATCAGTGGTTTCCTAGGGTTGGAATGAGAGAAGGGTCTGAATACAAAGGGACAGTATGACAGTCCTTTGGTGTCTGCATCTATGACAGTGGTTGTGAGAACTATGAATGTGACTCACAGAGCTGTGAATCAAAAAGGTGAATTTTATTGTATGCAATTTTTATTGTTAGCTAAAGTGGATCATTTTCCTCTTATGAAATGCAATTCTCATCTTTTATTCCTTATTCTATTGAGTTGTTTATCTTTCTTGAGTTTGTTGAAAACCTTTTACCTGTAAGTTGGTGTCTTTGTCAGTTCTGAAAAATCCTCAGCTAACATTTCTTCAAAAATTGCTCTCCCATTCTTCCTCTGCTTTCTCAGCTTTTTCCTCCATGATGTCTCTTCAATAGTCTTTCCATGTTTTTCTCTTTCTGTGAGTCTGTGAATATTTACTTCTGATCCACCTTCTATTCCATTATTTCTCTTTTTAAGTGTCTTACTCAGTTACACACAATTTATTTTTAATTTAGATCATTGTGTTAAGGAAATTCTGGTAGGTTTTCAAGTAGCTCATTTTTTATTTTTTATCTGAGGAGTAATCTTGAACTATGACTTTTATTTTGTATAATGTGGACATAGTTATTTTGCAATCTGCATTTGATGTCTCAAATTTATTAAATCTTTTTGGGTCTAGATCTATTCTTAATTGCTTGGTTATTTTGTTATACTCGTTGTACTTGAAAAAACTGCATTACACTTAAGTAACAGGTTTCCTGGATATAGAATTATTGAATCATTTTAAACAGACCCCCCTGAAGTTGCTCAAAACAGTAATTCTTCTCATGGATCCTACTCACAGATGCTCTACAGTGTTTCTGATACTGTAGATTGACTCACTTAACGTGACAATCACTTCAACCTTGCTTTGGCTTGATTTCCTATACTGTAGAAATTAGAAAGCTAAAAACTCAGTCTTTCAGACTTTTTTTTGCAGTACTGAGGTTTGAACCCAGGACCTTGCACTTGCTAGACAGGCATGCCCCCCAACCCCCTCAGGCTTTTGTACCTGAGATTCCTCATGTAACTTAGGTCCTGCAAAATAGATGCACTGGCCCCAGACTTGGAGCAAAGAATAGACAAAGGGAAGTAGCAGGTTTTCTGGCAATCATGGCAGTGGAAGTGTACGGTTCCACTGGTGCAAATATGAAAGTTTCTAGCACCTAGTCTCTACTATCTTACCTGTCAAATAGAAAACAATGGTGAGAATGGTGAAATTCCCATTTCTCTTTTTCTCATACAGCTCTTCCAACACCTTCATATCCACGTTCTAGCATTAAATTTTCCTCTGCTTGAAATACTTTAAATAGATTGTCTTCCTGGCAATACATAGACTCACACATAATTCCTCCTTCCTTCAGTTGAAAGAAACTAATCAAAGCCTATCACTTAGCACTCTCCAAGAATGGCTAACAAAGCTGATCCATCTTTGGTTCCCTCATTCTTGGAGCAGGCCCTGTCACACCCCCACTCCTGGCCCACCTTCATCTGAACCCTAGAACCTCATCTATTTCAGTCCTGACTGTTTGAGTCCCTGCATTTCCCAAGTGAGGACTCCCATCTGCACTCCCGCAACTGCCCTCTTCCTGGGCTTCAAGATGTGTTCAACTCGCCCCTCGTGCCTGAGAGCCTCAGGAGGCTAGGTGTGGGCAGTGTTGACCCTTGACTCCTTGAGTGCGTGGCACTGAGCAGGGGATTACAGAATGTAATGGCAACTGTGACAGAAGTAGGGCAAAAATGAGTAGCTCTGTCAAGTTCTGGATTCAAGGGCTCAACTTGGGATCGATCCTCTTTCCACACAATGTCTTCAGAACTCAACCGATGAGAGTGTGCAAATCTGTGCAGAACAGGAACTGAGAGGTGGAATGAGGCCTGCCCCCAGGCAAGGACCAGGGACACAGAGACAAAAGGATGATTAGGTGCCAGGTAGCTTTAATGAGCTGCAGCACCTCTTCCTCCACTTTGTCCCTCCCTCCCCACTTTCCCCCCTCAATTCTGGACAGGTCCAGCCTGCCCGAGGCTCTGGCTCTCTTCAGCTGGAGGTGTTAATCCTTCTGTCCCCTCAGCCACTCCAGCAGCCTCTGGAGATCTGGGAGTAGATTGGCCATTGCTGCCAGCAGCTCTCACAATCTTTGTTTGGTAGTCTTAGTGAGCAGAAAATTGCAGGGGACAGGGCCCTCTTCAAAGGTGACCCGGCAGTTCCGTGTAGCTGAATGGTAGCCCTCAGCACTGGCAGTCACCATATAGTCCCCCGGAGTCAGTAGCCGCCAGTAATCCCCATCCCGTGCTGAGGAGAGTAAAGGGAAAGCTCAGGACTCAATGATCCTGGTTCTGGCCCAGCTCCTCCCTCAGCGCCCCTCCCCAGCCCCTCTCTGTCACACAAACCTGTTGTAACATCATGGTTAATTCCATCCACGGCAATGACAGCATCAGCAATCCCACGTTCCGTGTCTTTGTCCCGCACAACTCCTGCAATGCCCATGCGCACCTGTATGGGAAAAGGTTTAGATTTTTTTTTTTTTTTTTGGACAGGTATCACTATGTAGTCCAGGCTGGTCTCGAACTTGTGGTCTTCCTGCTTCAACCTCTCAAGTGCTAGAATCACGGATGTGGTGTGGGCCACCATACCCAGCAGAAATCTTTATCAAAACCCTGTGGTGGAGGGAAGAAGAGGATCTCAAGTTGGAGGCCAGCTGAGGCTACAAAATGAGATCCTGTCTTCTTTAAAAAAAAAAAAAAAGACACCTTTCTCATGCAGAGGCATGAGAATATATCTGCTGTGTTCCTAGGTGACAAATTTTCTGATAAAAATCTCCTGATTGGTAACTTACATCTTGTTGTTAGAAAGGCATAATTAGGATTGCCCAAGTGCAGTAACCCTGTGACTGGGCTCGTGTTCTGTAGAACTTGTAGAAGCTAATGTTTATGGAGTCATTCCTTAGGATCCAAGTCCTGTGGAATATGACATTTCTGTGGCAAGATAGTTCTACACCTGCCTAATGTCTTCCCTGAGAAGAACTCTCCTGAGGCTAGGTCTAGGACAGCTCTAGGAGCCACCCCTAAGAGGGCTGTCTAGTCCCACTGGCTCACAACATCTGACACCACCCTGCTAGCAAACTGCACTTCCTGTTCTAGATCCTTCCAAGCCAACATGACACTGAGAATCCCAAGGCATGGTGGAAATCTTATGCCAACTGGACCTTAGAAGAACCCCTAGTGCAGCCTAAATAGAGAGCAGACTGTCCAGGAGTGACTCAGGCAGGCTGGGGGATTCAGAACTGACCTGCTCCAGGTAGGTGAGGAGGGCTTCTTTGTTGTTCTCCCACTCTTGGGGCAGCTCTTTCTCATGAGGGAACTTGTCACAGGACAGCTCCACCGTGATCTCAAAGCAGTTGGTGTGCATGTAGCTGAAGTCATTCATGCCTGGAGGCATCACACATACCAGAGCCTAAGGGGGCAGCGTGGAGTCCCACCCTCCTGGTGCTCTCCTCTGGGAGACACTTCAGGATGGGAAGTGACATGAGTGCTATCCATAGCAGCAGACTATCTTACGGGGCAGGGGTCTACCACCAGGATGGGGCTACCTCCACCCCCAGACACGTACTCCCAGGGACTGTGTGCCAGTCAGCCCCGTTGATGATGTTGCCATGCAAGGAAAAGTCCTGGTTGTGGCAAGGCCGGCGATCTGTGTTCTGCATGGCCCGATTAGTGCCAGCATAGACGGTGCTAAGCCAGCGAAAGACACCATCGTCTGGTGTTGGGGTCAGTTCACGGGAAGCCCATGGGGTCCGAGTCATGTCGAATGGGTAGGTCACCACTAGCTCACCACCGTGGAGGTTGGCACTCAGCACAAAGGGGAGCCGCTTCATCCACTCAATAACTGCCCAAGTTTCAGGAGCCACCTGGACAAGGGTAGGGTCAGGAGAGGTGGGACAAAGAGATAAGGGGTCCCTGGGTGGTCCTCCACCACTGCCTCCAGAATACTCACAGTGGCGTTGGGCAGAGTATAGTAAGTAGGCAGTGGCACGTGATGGTTGGGGATAACCAGCCCATAGTCCTCTGCATCCCACAGTGGTGTGTTGAGGTCAGCAAAATTGTGATTAAGGTCGATGCCTTGGTAGGTCCAGCGACCCTCTGCCCAACCCGCCAGCTCTGAACCCTGTTAGGGAAGACGCTTGTTCAAGCCAAGGGGGCTCTAGGCACCAGGGCAGAAGGGATAAAGAGGCCCACATGTGGGATGGCCTACCTTGCGGTAGGCAATCTCATAGCCATCAGGGTTCATGGAGGGCAGCAGGTGAATGCGCATCTCGGTGAGCAGTCGGGTCACTCGTGGGTTCCCTTGCAGGTACTCATGGCACAAGAACTGCATCAGAAGCAGCAGCAATTCCCGCCCCAAGGCCTCATTCCCGTGCATGCCAGCCACATAGCGTACCTCTGGCTCCCCTGGGAACACAAGGGGGCTCATAGCTGATTCCCATCCCTGACCTGCCCACCTCTCCCTACATCACCTGCCAGTACCCAGCTCATGTTCCCCAGGCTGGTCCGACATTTCCATAACATACAGCTTCAGGCCCTGGTGGCTCTTCCCGATGCTGTAGATGCGGGTGACGTTGGGACACTGCTCATTCACCTGCTTCATCAGCTGTGGTGGAGGTGGGGTAGAAAAAGGAGCATGGGAGAGTTACATCCATGGGTCCGACCACATGTGACTGTGGAGACATACAAAGTCAGTAGTAGCCCACGCAGATGGGGGCATCCTGGGCACAGTCCAAGAGAGGAAAAGCAGACCCAGATGGAAAGGGCAGAACAGAGGAGGTGCCATGGCAGATTTTGCCCTGGTGGGAAAGGGATAGGCAGGCCCCCCTTTTGGGGTCATAGGGGTTATATCTGACCTTCCTCATGGCCTTATAATCATGATGCCGAAATTCTAGAGGGTCGGAGGATCCCAGTGCATGGGCCTCAGGGTGTAAGTCATTAGGATCTGGTGAAATGTGAGTTCATGGTAAAAGGTAAGTTCACAGTTGAGGATGCACCCTGCATCCAGGACCTGCCCATCCAACCTTTGCCCAACTGCCCACCTGAGACTGGGCAGGCCAGGATCTCTGCCCTGAGACAAGGTGAGCCTTCCTTGAGCCAGCTCTGGGGCAGCAGACGAATGAAGCGAGCCACCTGGGGCTCCAGCAAGAGGTTCAGCACTGGAGTTTCTGAGTCCGAATTGGCAGGAAATACCTGGGGATATTGAGTCTCTTGCTAGGGCTGCTCACACCCAAGTCTAGCCCAAGATCCAGGGAAGGAGTTCAGGCCTCCAAGCTCACTAGCTAACTCTACATGCTAGGCTAAGTTGGAGACGTACACCTTGGTCAAACATGGGCTCCCTCTCTCTCTCCTGCTCATAGACAGCCCTAGTCATGTATGTTTTCTGTTTTGGTCACAACTCATTATACCAATATGGCAATGTAACTCAGGAACAGACATCCTAGTGCTGGCAAGGACTCCATTCTGCAGCCAAGTGTAAAGGGACCATGACATGGAGAAGCCAAAGCCATGAGCAGGCAAACAGTGATATAAGACAGAGGCCCATGGCCAGAAGGGTGTTCCAGGAGGAAGCTTCAACCTGAGGCAGCATCCACCCATGCTGGAGTTATTGGGCATATCCTAAAACAGCCTGGGCTGGGAACATGGCTCAGAAGTAGAGCGCTTGCCTAGAATGCATAAGGCTCTGGGTTGGACCCCTAGCACTGAAAAACAAAACAAAAAACAGCTCCCAAGGTGCCTAGTGGGTGTCACCCATTCTGATACACATACATATTCTCTCTCTTTCTTTCCCTCCCTCCCTCCCTCCTGAAATGTCTAAATTGGCATCTATTCCTTATCCTCAGAAGAGCCTCAGCCCAGCCAAGCACGCTGCAATGAGCTTGGTGTCTCAATCACTATAGGACCACTCACCGCATCCATCCCACTGCTATGATTCCTACTCCCCCACCAGGTCCAACTGTCATTGCTGAACTGGACCTTGTATGATGTAACCCAGTCGTACCTGTCAGGGAAGGTAAGGAGAGATCATTGACGCCCCCAGAAGTTCCACCCCAGTCTTTCTGTCTCCCCTTACAACTTTCTGGGTAGGGGGCTAGCCTGCCTCACCTCCAGATAGAGTTCCTGCCCTGTGTGATAATGCCTGAGAAGCGGACAGGGTTTTTAGCATCCACCTGAAACCATGGCTCAGTGTCCTGTTGCTCAGCGCACCAGGCCCCATCGTATTGGTCACCATCCTCCAGGCCTGACTATGGGCACAGAACATGGTGGTCAGGCCCAGGTAGGCAGAGTGGGGTGGATTGGGACAAGGAGAAGGGAAGGGAGACGGTCCCAGAACCTGGGTTCTGAGCCCAGGGTGCTGACCTGGATGTTGAGCCGTCCTCGATGTGGTCCAAGACCAAAGGACTGTCTGCTGGATGCCTCAAACTGGCTATCTGAAACTCTCAGAGATTCCAGGCCCAAAGGGGGGCAACCTGGAGCAGGGACGGAGCAGGGACAGAGCAGGAAGACAGGACCAGAAAGAAGGTAGTCAGAGCAGGTGAGAGGCTGAGCCTAAGTTCGCTTGCTTATGTACTGAGCAGGCAGGGGGCATTCTATGCCCATGAGGCCAGAAGCCATGCTAGTAATTGCCACAGGAGCTGCAAGCCTGGGCAGCCCTGGAGAGGCTGTACCTGGCTCTTGTTTCTCAAGGTGTTCGGGGGTCCTTGTTGGTCTAGCAGCTTCTGGGAGACTGAGACGAGTTAACTTCTTTCGCTTCTTCACAATAACCTTTTTCTTCTTGATGACTCGAATCCGGACTTGCTCTCCTGAGGTTCTCCTAGGAGGTTCTCCTAGGGTTCAGCGGGGAGAGACTAATGGCATGAATCCCTCCCCATGGAAAGCTCTGCCAGTCCAGGAAGGCACACAAGCCTCTGGCAAGCCCACCACAAGTATCAAAAAACCTTAGCATGGCATTCAAGGCTTGTAGTCTGACCCCTACCTGCCCTTCCAGCCACTTCCTTAGCATTTCCTTCTTCCTGACACTATGCTCGGCCAGCCTCATCTCCCACCCTTCCACCAATGAAGAGCTACACCCAACCTGGATGTTCCAAAGAGCTGTTTCCCTCCAGGCTTTTCTCTACCTTTCCCCTCTCCTGTAATCCCATCCACCACCATTGCCCCTCCCACTTCCATTGCTAGCCTTTCTACTCCCAAAGCCCCTGTGCCGCCTGCACAGTTGTCTGACCTCTCCTTCTGAGAAGGCCTGTCTTGAATTCCGTGTTTGCCTGGCTATGGAGGCCTTCCCAGGCTGGGCCTGCAGGCTGGCTGTCCAGCACAGGGCTTCCCACAAGGAGAAGTTAAGAGGTCAGGCAGCCTGTGTCTTCCCCCTTCCTCCACACAGCCTCAGCAAAGTCTCTCCCTCCCTTTCTTTTGTTCTTTCCTTCCAGCCCCTGCCCTTAAACTTTCCTACACAAGCTGGCTCTGTTCCTTTTCGTCTGGTGCCTCTGCACCTCTTTTCTCCCCTCCTCCAGGCCAAAGTTTCCTCATCTGTAAAAAGGGAAGGTTGAGGGCTGGAGGAGCCAGCATCCCACTAGCTCCTGTCCTAGGAGTGCTGACTAGGGCTGGCTGGAATGGGGCTGCTGAGTCAGCAGCCACTGCACAGGGCGTGTGAGTGTGAGTGTGAGTGTGTGTGTGTGTGTGTGTGCTGGGAAGGGAAGCGGGCCCACCGACTTGCCCGACTGGAAGCTCACCATTCCCCTTCGCGGGCGGCTGTGCAGGGCTGTTACGCGGGGCCGGGGTTGAGCCCGGGACCTCGGTGGTCGCTGGCGGCGCCAGACCCAGCACCGTGGCGCTGGGCGCCCCCAGACCCAGACCGACGGCAGGCACAAAGGCAGCCAAGGCAAGCAGGAGGCCCCACATGGCCGGCGGAGAGATGCGGACGCTCGGAATCCGCGGCGATCGGTCGGTGGGTTCGCCTTTTCCTGCCCGCCGCTCGGGAGCCCCCCGCCCCTTCCTGCCCGCCCGCGCCGTCGCCCCACGCCCCTCTGCAGCCTCTGGCCCGCCCACAGTCCGCTCGCAGGACTGCGACCTGGAGGGAGAAGGGAGGGCCCGGGAGGGGCGAGCGGGACGGACCCTCGAGGGGCCGCGGGATGGGGCTGCACCGCCCAAGGTCTCCAGACCCCGGATCCTGCCCCTCCTTCTCCGGTCGACTCGGGCTAACTAGCCTCTGTCGTGCGCGGCCCTTTCCAGTCTACAAAGCCACACATCTCATTTAGTCCTGTGCGGCCAAAGTAGGTCCCACAGCGGACACCACTTCGTACAATGCACAATGCCAGGCACTTTGCACATGGTCTTTTAATCAAACCTCACTTTACAAACTGAGGCTCTGAACGGCTACTCGACTTGGCCAAGGTAGCAGAGCTGAGAACTTTGGGGAGAAAACTACAACCTGAGAGGGAAATCCATTCAGAAGCCACAAGCTCCCTGCCAGGGCAGGTGGGATAGTAGAGTGGAAGAAAGGGGAAACTGAGGCGGTGGACTGGGTGCAGAGGGGAAGAGCTGGTCATTCAAGAATCCTGAAAGAAACCAAGGGACCCAACCGGAGGCTGCGTTTCCCATCACCACCACCACTATCCTTGGCCCCGCCTCTCCTTTCTCCTTTCTTCCCCTCCCCTACTCCTTCTCTCACTCGCCTGCCACGTTCTGGGGTTACATAACCCAAGCAGAGCAGCCAGAATCAATACCCTGGCTGGGGCCAGGGATGGAAAGCAGAGGCTTAACGCGACCCCCTGCCTTCTCCATCTCCTTGTCCTCTTTCCTTTTATCCTCCTCTTGGGTCCTAGGTCTCTATTGGTGGAACTGCTCCAGATCAGGAATTCCAGGGCGCGGGACCCTTCCCATCCTCCCCACCCGCCACACATATTCTTTGGATCCCCCAGGCCTGCGTGGCCTCCCCAGAAGGAATAAAATGTGCCCACTGTGGACTTTGGCAGGTGCTTTGCCTTTGCTTTTGCTGCCATTCCTTCAGAGAAGCAATGCTCAGAGTTGGCCCGAAGTTCTCTGAAGTGCCAGGGACCCTGAGCTAAAGGTTTTTGATTTTCTTGCAGCACCACTGTCTACATAAAAATTTCAATCACCCCCAAATCAATTTGTCAGCACCACTGTGGTGACCCAAGCTCACAGGACCCTTGAGAGGGAGCAGAATACTGGCTGAAGTCCTGGAACTGAGGCACACCACTGGCAGGGATGACCCCATAGACAGGAGTCCTGGACCCTGGGAAATTAAGCAACCAGATACAACCCACCCATGACCAGGTACCTGCTTGGAACCAGCTTACACAGTACTGCCAGGTCCAGGGCACAGAAAAATTCAAGGGAGCCGTTCCAAATTGGGGACTGTCCCAGTTAGAGGCCTGAGGAACATGCACTAAACTGCAAACTGATGCATCTCTGCTGGGGTGGGAGGCCATGGTCTTGATGGATAGCAGTTAGACATGAGTGATGGGCAGGTGCAAGGGGATCAAAAATGGACAATCCTCGATTCGGTGCAAACGTGTTGTGAGCCCTGTTCTCTCTCACTCATGGCCTGCTTTCCTGCATGCTACAAGCTAAACTTCTACTGGTAGAGAGGAAACCTGATGAAAACAGATAAGGAGAAGGCCTTGTATGGCTATGATCTTTCTCAAGATTAACTTTGCTCTGGACTGTTGCTCATCATTACATCCTCCTGCACCGGATCCCAAATGGAAAGCAAGTTCTGGGCCAGTCAAGTTAAGGTGGGCTACTTTGACGGAGAGTTACCTTTTGCCCATTACTATGTCATTATAATCTCATTGTACGTAATGTTTTTCTCCCCACTCCACCTCCATGGATTTTTCTTAGGTAGGAATGGGTAATCACTCATGCAGAAAGATTCTTGAGATGTGTCGTTATTTTTAACAACTTTTATGTGACTGGAGATAGCTTCCCTGACCCTCCAATAACAGTCTGAACAGGTACCGGGGCTTCTCAGCCTCCAGCAAAGCCCAGTCTGGCCACTTCTCTATCTGTGATCCCCAACCCCACCCAAGTTTTCCAGAGAACTTTGAAAGAGGAGGGAATGTAGGGGATACATCTCAAGAAATCCCAGCCTCTTGAGGCTCTCACCCCCATTCTCTAAGCCCTTCCCCAACAGCAGCCAAGCGGAGACAAGTTCCTCCTAGGTTAAGTTCCCAGCAAGTTCACCTGCACCACCCTTCATGACCAAGTTCTTTTCTACCCTCACTTTTCCTACCTCTTCTGCTTCTGCTCCTACCTTCTTGGTCTCACATTTGTTCTTACAGTCTTTAAGCACTCCATGACTTCTGAGATTATCTTGTTTAAATTGTTATGTGTTCACTGTTTGAGTCCCTACCACCAGCAGGAGGTCAATACCCCTCCAGAAGAGCCTTTGCACCCAAATGTTCACAGCTGCACTCAGGTACTTAGGACAGCATCTTGTTCCTGGTCAGCAATCAAAAGCATGTGTATGATACATTCAAGGTTAGAGGAGGGCTGTGGGCTCTTACCCCAACTGCCCATCTCACATCTCAAGGTATAATTTCACTTTGCTAATAAATCGCTCCTTGCTATCTTCCTACACTTCATGGTTCTTTTGATACACTGGGCAGTGTTCTAATCTTAGATGTTGCACCCAAACAACTGAGGAACATCTGGAACACACCATCCCATCCACCAATAACATTTTGGTGTTGTGGCTTGGATCCACTAAAGGGTAAATTCTGTTCTCCCTCCCTCTGTTGGCTACAGCACTGCCTTCTGAAATCCTGCATTTCTGTGTTTTGTTTTGTTTTGTTTTGTTGTAAGCCTATATCACATCTTCCTCCCTGCCTAGCCTCTGTGGCCACCAAACACTGATACTTTCCTAGTATTCTGGAATGGCAGTGGATTCCCAACCCTTGTTGAAACCTCACCATTCCTGCTCCATGTGCTGGTGCTTTATGTTTCATAGGACATGATCCTCTTTCCACCTTGACCTGGGACACCACACAATTAGGTTTCTTACTATTTGTCAGATTAGTCATCTCTTACAATGTCACAAAGTAGAAACTAAGAGATTATTTATTGGAAACCGTACATTCCAATTCTACCAAGACTAAATTAGAGGACATCCAAAAGTTCCTTCTAGAAAGACAGTAAACCCAAGCTAGTTCCCCCAGACCTCCAAGATCCGAGTTCCTGGCCACCCACAAAATATTGTGGGTCATTCACTTAAAGGGATGGTGGAATTTATGGAAGGGGAAGATCCTAAGGATGCTGGGTTTCTAGAATTACATCCAGGAGTGACTAGAATCATCAAGGGTCATGAAATGTATGATCAACAGTCAACCTGGAGATAGAGGAAGATCACAAAGTGGCTGGGGATCAAGGGCATATCAGGAGGCATACCTCCCAGTCCCAGGTCACTAACAGAAGGAAGGTTGCTTCCCCATAGGTAGTCTCTTAGGGAACACTTTTGAGCCTTCTAATGGTTGGTTATGCACCCTCTTCCTCTCTCTTCCAGAAATGGGAAACCAACCTTCCATATGTTGGATTCTATTCTATACTATTGGAAGAAATTTGACCCCCAAATCCTCAAGCAAAAACATCTTGTTTTGTTTGGCCCCAATACACCCTAGAAGATGGAGTATCCTGGCCTACCACCTGGTCCATAGATAAGAACACCATCCTACAATTAGAACTATTCTGTAGAAGACTGGAGAAATGGTCAGAGGTCCCATATGTTCAAGCATTCATGGCTTTATTCATGAATCCAGGAATAGATTATAACCCAAAAGAAAGTTTCTAGTTTGACTATTCTCTCAGATCTGACCACTTCCTGAAATGGAAAGTCCTAACTCCTGATGGAGTAATTGTTTTTTCTCCCTTCTTCTCTCTTCTGCTTCCTCTTCTAAAAGATCTATTACCTATTTGGACCTCCTAATCTCCTGTCATGGGTGCTAAAACAGAGCTTATTCCCTGCCGGGTGCTCTCCCTGTAATATGAGCATTGATGGGGACTCCCATGGAGATGCACAGGGTAGCGTCCCCCCACACACTCACCTTCCCCTCACCTATACATCCCCCAGCTCGCTCTCTCTTTTGTACATCAATGCTTCTGTCAGCTTCATTCCTCAAGGTGTGGTTAAGGACCAGCAGCATTGGCATTCCCTGTGGGAAATGAAGAGTCTTTATCCCAGATCAACTCAGTCAGAATCTGCATTTTAACAAGATTCCTAGGGAATTCAATATTCAGGATTTTATTATGACCACGTTCAACTTGTTTGTCAACTTTTTATGCTCCTTGGAATTAGTAATTACTTTTCTTTTTTAATCACTTACTTTGTTTTCTAATTACCCAACACTAATTAAATCCCAAAGTTTTTAACAGAACTGCAAATTTACTCTGAATATGTCTAAACGTAGACAATCAATTGATTTCATTTTCTGAAACATGCCTCCTGGAGTACTTATCTTCTGGTTCCAGCCCAGGTTGCCTGCTTTCTTCACTTGGCTTCGGAGGCACATCCCAGCTCTTTTTCACCATCCTTTCCTGAGTTAGTCTGATGTCTTGAAAGCCATATTGTCCTCTGTCTTGGTTTGATTCCTTTTTTTGCTGAAGCACATCCTCCAAGTAGCTTCTTAAGAAAGGGTGTGTGGAAGGTCAGATATTTGAGACCTTGTATGGTTAAAATTTCCATTAGTTTACCCTCGTACTTGATAATCATTTGGGCAGATACAAGTTTCTAGGTGGGAAATCACTTTCCTTCAGAATTTTGTGGACATTTCTTTATTGTCTTCTAGCTATCAGTGTTGGTTTAAAAATCTAACACCATTTCTAATGTTCAGTCCTATGCATGTGATCATTTTCATTGTAGGAAGCTCTTTGTAGGCAGTTCCAATAATTTGAATTTCATCTGTGCTATGAACTGACAGGACTGTATGGTCTAAAGATACATATCCTTCAGTTATGAAAAAGTTTCTTGATATTTGAATTTTTTCTTTTTGTCTATTCTAATTTTCTAAAAGTAACATTATTCAAATACTGCTACCTCTAATTTTATTGACTTTTCCTCTTTTTGTCATGGGTTTCTTGCATTTTTTCCCCAGGCTAGTCTGGACCTAAATCCTCCTATTAACATTTCCTGTGTGGCCAGAATGACAGGCACATATCACCATGCAACTATTGATTGAGATGGAATCTTGATAACGTTTTCCCCGGGATGGCCTTGAACCATGATGAACTCCCCATCTGGAGTAGCTGGGATGACAGGCATGAGTCACTATGCCCAGCCTCCATTGATAATTTTTACCTCCAGTAACTGACCACAAGGCTGCTGCATTTCCGTACTGTGGGTGACCAAGTAGCCATTCAGGAATCAAAGACTTGCTATCCTCACTCTCTTTATCTTTCCTTTTTTGAAATCATACTTTCACCATGTTTCAGTGAATCATGCTTGTTCTAATGAACCCCACTTCTGACACCAATGCTTTTCTGAAGACCACTCTCAAGCTCAATGACTCACTAGAAGAATTTACAGAACTCAGCAAAGTAGTTATGCTCATGGTTGCAGTTTATTAGAGAGAAAGAACACAGATTAAAATCAGCAATAGAAGAAGGTGAATAGGGCAGAGCCATGTCACATCAGGAGTAAGATTCCAGTTGTCCTCGGAAATGGAATCATGGAGATATGATGTGTGACAACATGCACAGAATAGTGCCAACAGGGTTGCTCACTGATCCTTGGTGTCCAGGATTTTTATTAAGGGGTCAGTCATGTAGGTATAGTTGACTGTGCATGTGACTAACCTTAGTGCAGCCCCTCTAGAGGTCAAAGTGATACTGTATGGTCCAAGGCCCCAACATAAATCACATTGTTGGCATATACTATCTGATGTGGACCATGGTCCCCATGTAAATGAACATAATTCAATAGACAGCATAATCCAAGGATTAAAGGTTACTTCCCCGGAGCCTAGCAAGGGCTAAACTATTCTTATGAATGAACAGAATCTAGACAACCCAGACTTGCCAAGTTTATACTTTACTGCACAACACCTGTGTTATATGTTATTGGTCCCATTACCAACTAGTCTCCCACTCCCACTGTTGTGTTTGCTGCTTCATACGTCATAGCTGTTGGCTCCCTTCTCCAGACAAATGCTCTTGGCTAACAGATTCTGTCTTACCCAGAATGTTACAGTTCTCCAGCCTCCACCTTCCTCTGCCCACTTCCTTCATCGGAAGCCAGTGACTGACCAATGCTATGGTGCAATTCACCTTCCAGAGCTACCTGAAGGGTCAGGCTGAGGCTAGTCTCCAACCAAGACCGTATCCTAGCTTAGCAATTTTCCCTACCATGTCCTACTTTCACCTCCCTAAAAGTTTTCCTCCTGAGAGCACTTCCTCAGCAAATCATCAAGAATTCTTTTAGGAATCATTAGTCACAATGTCTGGCATAGGAAGAACTTAATAAATGATTGTTGAATGAAAAATAAACTCTGAGGAAATCAAAAAATAGAACTCCCCTATAAATGTATCCAGGGCACCCAGCACACAGTAAACCCTTAAGGAGCATTAGTCATGCTTCATACCCAGCCCTTTACAATATATAGTTTCTTCATCTTGGTACAATCATCAGGACAGGACTATCAGTTCTTGTGGGTACATCCAGAAGTGATCAGGCTGAAAGGACTGGCGCTCTTAAAACTTACTGCTAATTTGCTCATATACAAAAACAATTGGAACTTATGCAAAAAAAATTTTTTTAAAGGCCAAGACCCAAGATCTTCTATTATGCCCAATCCCCTTACAGACAGTTTCTCACTCTATTTCCTCTTCTCTTAGGGGCTATGTGGCTCCTATCTTCCTGTCCCTACCTCATCAGTTTTCCTTCAAAGTATGATATGGATGCAAAGATTAAATTTTCTTGGTGATGACTCATTTCTACTCTTGTCTCTAAGTCACCACACTGAGATGTGCTGGAACTTCTGTGTCCTCCGCCCATTTACAGATTACCAGTGGAAATAGGTCTGTTTCCAGATGACCAATCCCTTTGTTTTCCTGAATTTTATTCAGGAAACTGTTTGTTTTACAGTCTTTGCATTTTTTTTTTTGATACTGGGGTTTGAACTCTGGACCTACACCTCGAGCCACTCCTCCAGCCGCCTTTTTCAGTGTATGTGATGGGATTTTTCGAGAGCTATTTGCCAGGGCTGGTTTGGAACTATGATCCTCTTGATCTCTGTCTCCTGAGTAGGTAGATTACAGGCGAGAACTACTGGTGGTGGACTCTGTTCTTCTTTAATACAGGGCTTGCTATGTAATCCAGTCTGGCCTCAAACTCACTATGTAGCCCAGGCTGCCCTGAACTCGCAATCTTCCTGCTACCGTTTCCCAAGTGCTGGGACGGTAGATATGTGCCATATGCCTTGTTCTCTATCCCATTTCTGAAACCCCCAACATTCATAACACTGCTCACAAACTGTAGTGCCTAGACCATCCAAACAGCTCCATCCTGCCCCATCCCCATTTAGCAGGTCGCATGGGAGCACACCACCAGAAAACCTCAGCTTGCATCCTCGCAGAGCCTGTCTCTGTACTCCAGGACAGAAGTCCTTAAAAATCCACCAGCCCAAAAGCCCACAGGCATTACTCCACACTCAGGGAAAAGAGCTGGAGCTGGAGATTGGATGACACCCCAGACAGATGGCTCTGGGAACTTTCAGGAAGAAAGCAGTCTATCCTTTCCTGGACAGTTGCCCAAGTAGTGATGGCATTAGATGACTTCCTGACAATCCCATGGGAAGGCCCTGGGGCAGAGAATTAGCAAATGCAAGAGGATGAGTCTTACTTCTCAGAAATCACTGACTTACTGACTAAGCCCCATGTAGGCCACCAGTGCTTATGAGGCCAGACCAGCTGTAGCCCCCTACCTGCCCCAGGGCCCTACCTGCCTATAGGTCACAATGCCCTAACTACCCAGTCCTAAGAATGACTGACCAAAATGGGAGGAGGTGAGGAGGGTTTAGTGGGGTGTGTGAGGGAAGGAGGAGATTCCCAAGGACCCCTGATCCCCACCCTCTGTGCTCACCCTTGAGTGTGTGCCAGGGACCCCTTCCCTTTCCCCCTTTCCCCCTTCCTCCCTTCCAGTACTAGCTCTTCCCATCACCTCCACCTCCCTCCATGACCCAGGTCTGCTTACCTAGGCTCAAAGCCCTTGCAGATCTGATCCCATTCCCTCCTAGGGGTCTGGGTGCTGGGGAGGGGTCAAGTAGAACAGTGCACCCATGTGTGTCCCCCTGGGACCCTAGCCGGGCCCAGCTCCTGGACAGTGTCCTAGGGCTGGGGGCACTAGGGCTGACAATTGGAGCCATCTTTTCCATGGCTGGCCCAGCCCTGTTGCTGCTGCTGCTACTGATCAGCTTCCTCACTTTCGATCTGCTCCATAGGTAAGTGGGCAGCAGCCTGGCATTATAAGCAGGGGGGTAAGTAGCCAACCTTCCTGATATCCTCTCTCTCTACAGGCCTGCTGCAGGTCCCACTCTGCCACGGCACAGACTTCTTCCAAGAGGCCAGAGTCAGGGGGCTGGTGAGGGTCCAGGACAGCAGGTGGCTCCCCCCTTCCCAACAGGGGCAGTCCCAGAACAACTCAGCCCCCAGGATGCACTGCTCCTGCTGCTTCTAGGCCTGGGGCTGCTCTTGGGGGCCCATGGCACGTCCTTGGCCCTACTGGGCCTTGCTTTCTGCCTCCATCCTTGGGCCTAAGGGCCCTCCCCAAATGCTGAGTGCCCTCCAAAAATACACTGACCATCCTGCTTTCTGCGGTTTCCTATCCATCCTGAGCTGGATGGAGGGGTGGGGATATACCCCTTTATTCTCCATCTGAACCTCAAAGGACCTTTGGCCCCATAATATGGACAGTGGATAGCTGGGTCTGAGGCTTGGGGCAGCAAAAGAAGGGAGGGGATAAGGCAGGGAGCCCAAGGTGGGATGTATCAGCTGACTCAGCGTCTGAGGGTTGAGGATAGCCATTCTGGCCTCCTCTGCAGTTCTAGCAAATAAGGGTTCAGAGAGAATGACTTGCAAGAGAGTGGGGTGGGGCTGGCATCAGCCATCAGGGAAGGGCCAGGGCTAGGGAAGGCTTCCCACAATCAAGCAGGAAATACTACATCTTTGAAGCTCATCAGGCTCCTCTGCCAGCATAGAGGGCCCATGGAGCAGGACTCAGGTGAGACTCACTCCCTGCAGTGGCTCCTCTCTTGGCTGGACCCCACCCCAGTCCGGGTCATAATGGGGGTCCCCCAGGGATGGTGAGGGTTGAGTGAGAGTGGAGGCTGGGATCTGGCTGCCAGGCCATCCTGGGCACAGCAGGAAACAACATGACTTAGGTAACTCTGCCCAAAGGTAAGTCCTAGTCCCCAGCTCAAAGCCCCACCCTGCCCATGCTTGTGCCTTTCTGACCCCTGCACCTTTACCTGCCCTGAAGTCCCCCAGACATCTCCAGGGTTGCTCCTATAGCTGGCCTGGTGCTGTCCGCAGGTGCACCAGCCATGATGCAGCAGCCTAGAGTGGAGACGGATACCATCGGGGCTGGTGAGGGGCCGCAGCCTGCAGTGTCCTGGTCAACCCGGGTCACCCGGCAGGCCTTGGTACGCTGGTGGGTGTGCCACATGCCCCAGAGCTGGGCCCAGTGGTGGAGCACATCAGGTTGGCGGCAACCCTTGCAGCGCATGCTGTGGGGTGTAGAAGGGATACTCTACCTACTGCTGGCGCTGATGCTCTGTCACGCACTCTTCACCACTGGCTCACACCTACTGAGCTCCCTGTGGCCCGTGGTGGCCACAGTGTGGCGCCACCTGCTGCCAGCTATCCTGCTGCTGATGCTCAGTGCTCTGCCTGCCCTGCTCTTCATGGCCTCCTTCCTGCTGCTCTTCTCCACGCTGCTGAGCCTCGTGGGCCTCCTCACCTCCATGACTCACCAAGGTTATGCTCAGGACTTGGACCAATAGAAGGGCAACCCCATCCCGCTGCCTGTGTCTGTTGAGCCCCTGGCCTAGGGCCTGAGCACCATGGAGAGGGAGGGCAGTGGGACCTCAGCAGGCCCCAGTCTCCCAATCCAGATCATAAGCCTTCTCTCTGGACACCTACCTCAAACAGATGCTGCAGGTGCCTGGTGTGAGGGGTCACAGGCTTTGAGAAGAAGCAATAAGACCGATGACTTAGGCAGAGTGTGGGGGATAGGTCAGAGCTTGCACAAACTGAGAGCACCTGTGTGGATGTGTTAACACTACTAGGCCCCCTTGACAACTGGTATCATCTTTTTTGTCACAGCTGCTCAGCCTCTCAGCTTCAAATTCCCTGAGAGCTTCTACCTGGGCACCCCAGGACTTCCCATTCCTTCCACCCATCCCCTCTCTCCACTTCCAGGAGGACCCCAGACTCTAGAAAGGACCTCACTGACAGAAAGCTAGCTGGGTGAGGGCTGACCAGAAGCCCTGGAGACCTCACCTCACTACCTCATCAGACCTTTCTGCCCAGGCATCCCTCCTCTAGACTTCCTGCCTCCTGCCTCAGTCCACACCTCAAGTCTGGGAAATGGGCCAACTGGGATAGTGAGTTTCACGGTTTTTTTGTTTGTTTGTTTTTTGTTTTTTTGGTGCTAGAGATTGAACCCAAGGCCTGGGTATGCTAAGCACACACTCCACTATTAAGCTACAACCCCAGCCCCTGCCCACTCATTCTTTAAGAGACCCCAGGTCTGTTAACAGTTTTAAAAAAAATAAGTCCCATTTCAGCCACCTACACAAATGTGTGGCCTTGATTGATTTATTCTTTTGAGTCTCAGTGTTAAGTAGGGCCCAACCCTGTCACAGGTCAATATGTATTTGTGAAAGACTTTGTAAAGGCCAAGAAAGTGTTAAGAATGGGACTGGTGTAGTGAGTGGCTCAAGTGGTAGAGTACCTGCCTAGCAAACCTGAAGCCCTGAGTTCAAACCCCAGTACTGTCAAAAAAAACATGTTAAGAAGTTTTGAGCTGTAAGAACATTCTATAGACTCAAAAGGTCTTCCCCAGGCTTTGAGAGGAATGCTGTGTTGTGGATAGAATTTCAGCCTAAAATGGTAGAGGATGGATGGTGTGGACAAGATGTAAAATGTCATGTGCCATGAAACCTCGAAATGAGCAAATGTGGAACTCTTCTGATTGTGAAATGCTTGGGGCTGGGGCATGGTGCCAGGAGATGCTGGCACAGCTGTGTGAGTGGGAAAAGCATAGCTCAGGGATTTCCAGACAGGCTTTGGAAAGTACCATCCTTTGATGCCCCAGATTCTGGTCATTCACACCTCTGCTGGTCCCTCCAAATAAAATGTTGAGCGATCAGTCATCAGGTAAAAGGGTAGACATAATAAACAATCATTCACAGGGAGACCCACTTACCTGGCCCCCATTCACTCTTGACCCCCACCCTGTCCCAGAACCTTCCCGACTCATGACCCCTACTTTATATTAACCCTAAATTCCTGGCTCCTGAAGCTCTAGACCCAAGACCCCTCTCCCACTCCTGCCACCTAAATATTCAGTCCTTGGGGACCAACCATACAACCAGGTCTTTTTTTTTGCTATCTTCTGATAGTGGGGTTTGAACTCAGGGCCTCATGCTTGCTGGGCAGGAGCTCTACCACTTGAGCCACTCCTCCAGCCATGTTTTTTGTTTGTGTGTGTGTGTGTGTGTGTGTGTGTGTGTGTGTGTTGTTTTTCCAGATAGGGTCTCATGAACTATTTGCCTGGGCTGGCTTCTAACTGTGATCCTCTTGATCTCTGTCTCCTGAGTAGCTAGGATTACAGGTATGAACCACCAGCACCTGACATTTTTAAATTATTTTATATTATTTATTTTTTTATATGGGGGGTTCAGTACTGGGGTTTGAACTCACAGCCTTATTCATGCTAGGCAGGTGTTCTACCACTTGAACCACTTTGCCAGATGTCAAAACCCATTTGCTATAGTTTTGTAAGCCTGCACATTACTGATTAGATGCCTTTAGCTTCAGGGCCTGAAACCCAAGGACCAGTATTTCCTTCCTGTTTCTTTGTAGTTATCCCTGAAATATGTCCTGGTAGTGAGGGCAAGGAAGGACTTGGAGGGATATAGCTCCATGATTAGCATGGTGTACTTGCTGGGATTAGGTTTGAATCCCAGTACTGTCACTTTCTAGCATCATGGCCTTGGTGGAAATTGCTAAACCTTCCTGAACTTCATTTTCTTCATGGGGTAAAACAGGCAAGGATGCCTATTTGAGGGCTCCTGTGGGGCTCCTGGCTTGCAGGTGAAGTACCCAGACTGGCTCCCAGTGCCACAATTTATAGCTATGCTGTGACAATCTCATTTTGGAAAAGAGAAAGCAGGATCAGGATAGGTACCTGCCAGTGGCAAGGCCAGGCCATTTGATTCCCACTCTACCCTTACAGGTATTAAAGAGAAAGACTATGTGGGCTGGAGGAAATGCAAGCAACCTAACAGAGGAGCCCTTGACTTTCTTTGTCTTCAAAAACTCCTGTCAGAGATGAAGGCCAGGTCTAGGGATGTCATGAGTAAAACCAGTCTAGGTACTTGGCAGGCTGGGGCTTCAGGATTGTCTGTGGTGTGGGGATGAAGACCAGGATGCCTGGCCTGGATCCCTCACTGACCTGTCCATGCACTGCTGGCCAGAGACATCACTCTGGAGATTTGGGGTCATTCCAACTAAGAGGGAGAGGAGTAGCCAAGCACCAGTGTCTCACGCCTATAATTCTAGCTACTTAGGAGGCTCCAGGTGAGGCCAGCCTAGGCAAATAGTTGGCAAGACCTCATCTCCAAAATAACCAGAGCAAAATGGACTGGAGGCATGGCTCAAGCAGTAGAGTGAGCGCCTGTTTTGCAAGAGCAAAGCCTTGCATTTACATTCAAACCCCATTTACACCAAAAAAAAAAAAAAAGGGAGAGGAGGTTTTGGCCCTGATCATATGTACAAGATGACAGAGGACAAGATGCAGGCAGGAGCAAGGAAAAGGCCTTTTCCTTATATAAATATACGCCTTCTACCCTCCTGTTCTGCAGGTGTAGGATAGGATGGTGCAGCCAGACTGGAAGGCAGACAGGTAGTACTTACTAAACTATGTCTGCTGGTACCCTATGACCCAGCAAGTCAAAATGAACTCTTCCAGAGGTCCATAAGGGCCTTGTTTCTCAAAATATGGTCTCAGGATCAGCAGATAGGCATTTCATAGAAGCTGGTTGGAAATGCAGATTCCTAGGCCCCAGCCCAGACCTTCTGAGCCAGAGCCTGCATTTTAACAAGATTCCAGGTACTATGTGTGCACACATAGGGGATATGTTTGAAGATATTGCTGCATTGTTATTGATGGGGGCAGGAAATGGGTAGGGCAAAGCATGGGGGTAGGCACCATGGAGAGGAGGCAGCAGATAGAAGGGGCAAAGCTACTCAGATCACTCTTAAAACTGTACCACTGATGGAAAAGAAATGGAATGAGAAAAAAAATACAATTCCCTTTGCACAAGTTTAAAATGCATGCCAGCAAAACAAGATTTTTTTGGCGAGGGGAAGAACACATAAAAACAAAAGATAGGCACAATGTCATGGATAACTAGGAGGACAGGAGTGGGGAAAGTAAAAGAAAGTGAGACCACCTTGCAGAGAAGAAAAGTGCTATCAATATAATTCCTGAAATTCCTTTTAAGTAGACAGTCATCCATTTAGAGGTAAAAAAAAAGCTTGAAAATGCAAGCCTAGGACAATGAATACATGGAATTAAGGCATTCTAAGCCTTTCCGGTTTGGCTCAAGAAAGGAGCACTGTCCCCTTGGTTTTTATGAGCTGGGTGGCTTGGTGGATATCTTTGCCTTATCTGATGGGCTTGGAATGAGTGGCTGGGATCCAGCAACCATTTGGCCTATCCAGAAAAATCAGGTCAGAGGGTTGGAGGTGTAGCTCAGTGGTACAGGGCTTGTCTAGCATGAACAAGGCCCTGGGTTTGATTCCCAGCAACACACACACACACACACACACACACACACACACACACACACACACACACGGGTTGGGGCATGGCTCAAGTGGTAGAGCACCTCCCTTGAAAGCATAAGGCACTGAGTTCAAACCCCAGGACTGGAAAAATCAGGTCAGGTAGGGTACAAGGAACCTGAAAGGAAGGAGGGTCAGCAGTGAGAGGCCTTGCATCTGATTAGATCTACAGCTGCATAAAGCACAAACAAATTTTGGGGATATCTAGGAGGAGGAGTGCCCAAGTAGGCCTTCCCTCCACCTCCAGGAGCATGGAGAAAAGAGAAGGAGCAGTCAGGAGGGCTGAAGAGGGTGGTGTCGGGAGGCGCATACATGCTGCTGGGGAGAATCTCTGGGGATGGAGCCAGTGGCTACCCTAGGGAAGGGGTCCACCCTGGAAGAAGCCCAACAGCCAGAGGGGTTGGTAGGGGGGAGGAGGGAGGAGACACTTCCAAGAGCCGACTGCGGGAAGCCGGGAGGGGGCGCTTTCCCTCAGATTCGTGGGTGCTGCAAAAGGAGACCACGTGGCATCTGAGCGACGCTGGGAGTGAGGTAGACGGCTGTGTGGACCCGGAAGTCAGCGGCCACAGGGCAGGAGAGAGGAGACAAGGTCATCTAGGACAGGGAGGACTCTTGGTCAGCGCCGGGAAGACACCCCAAGACCTGGGGAGGGGCCACAAAGATGTAAGCACCGACATCCTGAGGAGGAAAGGAGCTGCATCTGGGTGGAAGGGGGTGCATGGAGGCCGGGGAAGCGCCCCGTCAGACCGCGGCTACATTGAACTGGGGAAGAACGCTTTGGGGGATTCCTGCGGAGAGGTGGGGACACCTGAGGCTGGCCGCGGACGCTGGGCACTGCAGTCAGTGCATTCTCCCCAGGGGTTCAGGTCCGCAAGGGAGAGCGTAGGTCATAGGCAAAGAGGACAAGCGAGGGCCTGAGGTTGTGAAGGAAATCCAAACCT